CAGACATCGTCATACAGTACCATTCAAACATTGTGATTAACATAAAAAATTGTGAAAATGTGCACATATGGTTTCTCGCAATGCAGACAGCTGGCATACCTAGAAAGGCTGAGCAAAATACAATTTAATCCAGTGCTACGGTCTGTGTGTGTGTTTGTTTATTAATTAGAGAATCAATATATAACATTTTAATTATATTTAAATGATCCAAACGCCCCACAGCTATATCTGTAGGTGGTAGCTTGAATTTTTTTTTTGTTGTTTTCATTTCAAGTGACTTAGTGTTCTGTCATGCTGCGACACGCAATAAAGCTACTGTATCAATGTAGAAACTGTTTCCATTCTCACAGCTGAACAACCACACAAATATTATGACAATGATCACCTTAGGTGCTGATTATGTTGCTGTATGTAGTGTTAAATGTTACCAGTTTTAGTTTGAATACCGTTTTGCATGACATACTGAAAGCAAAGCAGATAGTTTACTTCAGATTTTAGAAATTAAATAACTTGCAAACATTGTGTGTGAAAATGAATGACACTCAGCATCTAATTTTAATGTTAAAGAGGTTAAATGTGTATTAATTATGTTATAAACCTACCATTTCATTGTGACTTACCTGATAAGCTGATACTGAAAGCTTGTAAGACAAGCAATTGAGGGCAGGTTATTGTGAAGGATCAACTGAATCACAAATCACGTCTTACTAACTTTGTCAACCCAGTGTTGAGTTATTTAGAAAACTGTTATTTTAACATTTAGTTTGTTCATGCTGTCATGTTGCACATTTTGGTCTCTCATTTGCACTTTTTTCTCTTTTGTTTCTCTCTTTTTTACACAGGTTGTTCAGAAGTTGCACCAGTTTACCTTTGATCTCTTTGTCCAAGCCCGGTCTCTGCCCACGAAGGTCAGCTTTCCCGAAATGATTGCAGAAATAATCTCGGTCCAGGTGCCAAAGATGCTCGCCGGCCTGTCTAAACCAATCCTGTTCCACAAATGACAGGACCACGCCCCAATCTATACCAAGCCCACCCAGGCCATATGAGCCAGTCAGTTTGGTCTGATCCAGCCTAAACCAGCCTGCGATGCTTTGAATCTGGACTCGAATTGAGCGACGAGACTGAACAATACTGATTTTTTGATTTTTCCATTTTTTAGCATTTCCCTCTCCCTCTCTCTCTCTCTCCCTCCCACCCTTTCTATCTCAGTCTCGTCTCTCCCTCCTTTTGAAAAATGGCCCTGAAAAGTAGCGGGACCATTACATCATTACAGTTGTCTATCTTCTTCTCGGAGATGATTTGAGCTCATTTTCTCAAACTGACAGCATGGTGTGAAGCAGGTTTTGTTCTTTCTTTAGACCAGCAGTTATCCTTCAAGAGTTACAACGTGTTGCCTGGTGGACAGGTTGGGAAAAAAAAAATATCACACTGAAGTTTCATCTGAGCCCTTAATCATAAAAAGAAGAAAAAAAAAAAACATTAAGCAGATCCCTTTCCAAGTCTGTGACCTGCCTTGACTCTGTGCATAGCGGGATAAAAAGGTTTCATTTATTGTCCATGACTTGAGAGATCAGGACAAAGCAAAGCAGCATGCATAGAGAAATACGATCGAATATGGCAAAAACCCGGGACAGATTCTTTTCACTTGTGACAAAAATTCTAAGTACAGTACCATAGTATTAAAACAGTACGGAATTCAGACCGGCTATCGGTCCTCCTCCCTGCTTTATTAGTTTATTGATTGTAAAACAAGTGCTTCATTCATTTCTTATGAAATGTAGAGGCTCTTTATAAAAGCTTTTTAAAAGGCATCATTCATTCAGGATGTTCAGATGAATTCTGACTATTTCGTTCAAAATCGCTCACAGTTGGGTTGAAAATTCACTTTCGCCACTGAAAACAAAAGGACAGCAGCATGATGATGATGATGATAACAGCGCTATAGTAAAAACATCTCACAGTCATTAGGGAGTTGCCTCCTCTAGACAGCAGACTTTTGTTAAGACGGGGCAGATTGCCCTTATTTACAACCTGGATATTGCGGTGCAGGTTTTAGGGTATAATGTTGACAGTTTGTATATAGAACACAACAACTACAGCAATGCTTGGGTCATCATACAAGATCTTCAAATATGTATCCGTATCTAAACCTATTTAAACCTATGCATGCTGTCTTCATATCCATCACTACAAAACAAGAAACCAATAACTGCATGCTGAAGCCCTAGATATTCAAACAAACCAAACTGCATTTCCAGTAAGCTAAATGGATATTGTTAGGAAACGGGACTGTTTCCCATAAAGCTCTTACTAAGTTACTCTCTCTTTCACTGTCCTTAATGGAAGATCTGGCAAGGTAATGTTCTTGTGTATATATGTAAAAGTTAAGCGTGGTTCTTTTCAACCTTTCTATGTGCTAATGTATGGATGTAGTCAATAGTTTTACAGTACAGTTTCCTCTCTTTCCTTTATAGTAAGTGCCACTGAGGGATTTGTATTTCTCTGCGCTAGCAATAAGTAATCACATGCTTAACACAGTCTTTTAACAAGCTCTTTTAGAATACCAAAACAGGCTTAAGACGGTGCACACCTTTAAAAACAGACAAAACAAAAGACAAAAAAGAGCTATGCTTATGTGCTAACATAACGGGACAGTACTGTTATTTTATCAGAAACTCGTACCAAACATCTTAATCACCATCAACTGACGCAAAGCAGCGGCAAGTGGTGCTATAAGCTCTCCTCTTTATTCACGAGGGTGTTAGATGAGACGAAAAAAGACAAAAAAAACTACGTATTTTTTACTCTGCTTTTGCTTCAATTAAAGCATTCTCTATTTATCTGTCAGAAAGGAACATCTTTACTCGCTTTCCTCATACTTGGGCGCTGTGCGTGTTTTCTAGACGTCGTGTCAACTTTTTTCTTCTGCACGCTCTCCGTTTCTAAATGATTGAATAATGCCTGCAGTGTTATGTATGTAGATTACTCTTTAAAGAGCCCAAAAATCGCGGCGCTGTGTTGTCTTTGTCAGGCCTGGGGTGACCTGGGGTGTACTTTCAGCAGAGCAGGGAGTTTTCCGACGAGTTAAAACGACGAGATGTGGTTTAGCTGCTCGAGCTCTTGTCGCCGCCGAGCATGTTGACGGTTTAAATGTGCCAGGCAGAGAATAGGCTGTCAGAGAAAGCTCCTCTGCGCTGACAGCACCGAGCACCGCGCAATTACACGCAGGTGTTTACCCATTTAGACGGCCCAAAAGCACTCATTAGAATTTGCAGAACTCCAAGCCTCACTTTTACCCTGCCAAAAAAAAAAAAAGAGCCCACGACTTCCACCGCAAACATGCAGCGCTTTAGGACAGAGCCCGAAGCCAAAGTCTGATCACAAAAGTCGTTCGTTCGTTAGCTGACGAATGTTTGGAGGGGGGTGCACGTGCATGTAAACACCGATGTGCTTCATTCGTACGTGACTAACGTTACGTTACTCTCTCTCTATCTCTCTTTCTCTCGCCGTCTTATAATTGTCTGTTTACAATGGAAACTTTATAACATGCGACACCTCGTTTGGCTCTGGCGCTGCGCTCTTGAACCGACCCGTGCTTGGATGGTCCATAAGCTGATTTGTGTGACTTTCTTAACACATCTCTTATGAGCTATAATGTAGAACTTTGCGTGTGTTGGTTTTTAATTAAAGTCTTAGGATTTACTGTTGCTGTGTGCGGTGTGGTCAGCCAATAGCAAAAGCATATGTGTATGTTTATATGCGCTCTTGTAAATCTGTTAGCAGCCTCTGCTTCCTGGATGAAAGAAAGCAATAAGGACTTTTTTTTTGGTGTCATTTGCCAAATATTGAATTAGGCCTAAAGGTTTGCTCGGATTCGAATGTGAACGAGAGTCTTAATAACAGTCTGCATGTCACCAGGATGCTTCCTGTGGTTATAAATTGGTCTTTCAGAACACACGGAGGGGGCAAAAGTTACCGAACGACTTCTCAGCGATGAGGAAGGCAATTTGGCTTTCTAATGTGCGTCTTAACTGCAAAGTATCTTGACGTTGAGTTGTAGGTTAAACTGAAACACTAGCGCGACAGACGCTAAATGTGCAAATGAAACCATACAAAACATTTGCAGGCAGAACTCTATCTACTTTATGAAACCATATTAAAAAAAGTCCCATTTATGTAACGATGATTTGGATTTGTTTGATTTTTTAACTCTTTCTCTTCACTGGCTGACACAAGCAACTACAAGACTAATAATTAGCGAATGCTTTTTTACTGCTTTTTTCTCCGGTGTGAATAATTCCTGTCTTTTCCTGGTGTTATGGGATATTTTGGCCTTTCCATATGCAGAAGGAGGAGCTGGAGAGTTTGGCTTTCTATGACTAGAAGTGGAAATTCTGGCTTCTTAAATGATGTTTGTTACTTCAATCTTTGTAACTTTATAGTCTTTTTTTACAGCAGTTGTGTGTACGTGTGAATGGGTGTGTGTCTGTGCATGCACGCTTTTTCGCAGATTATTTAGTACTGCTATGTAGTGTTGTATTGACAGTTGTTAACTGACGATTTCTTTGGAGCAGTTTGCAAACTGATTTTTACTCATACGGAATATCGCTTATCAGACGTGCTCTGATTCCTGTTGTGTAGAGCCTGTGTAAATCCAGTTTGTTTGTGTTTTACCGCTTTCAATTCAATAAAAAAAATATCTGAAAGTCATTCTCGAACACGTTTTCTTTCCCAGTGTCGTGCGTTGGTCCTCCAGTAACAACTAGGCACGAGGAGCGTTTCTTTGGTGGGAGCTTGTCTAAACTCTTCAGGCCATGACTTTTTTGCAGTTTGGATTCTGACTGATGCACAGCTGTTTTCATTTAAACTGGATTCCAGAGGTCTATCCTCCTCCTGCTCGTGTATTGATTATTATCGTGAGGCCGTTTCATTTATACCCCGGGTCAGCTCTGTGCATTTATACCTTGCTTTCATATGAAAAAACAAACTCGGCTCATTTCTTTTGTATAAAGTTGCATTTTCTTGCAGCAGTACATTCAAACAAACAAACATGGTTTAGTGATTGTTACGAAGAGTTAATGCTTAAGAAACAATCAAATATTTACAAAAACAACATAAAATCACAGCTGGAGCTTTGAGATGACAATAATACGACAAAGGAGAATGTATACAGGGCTCTTATAAAGTGACCTGAAATTGGAACGTACCAAAAACACATCAACATGAATGGTTTCCATTTCCACAAGTGAGAACTAGACTTAAAAGCTTTAGCGTTCACATTATAGATTCACAATGACCAACAGAAACTCGATACTGAAAGTCATATCTATACTCTGTCACTGGGGTGGTACCTTTTTAAAAGGTATATTTTTCTTCCTAACTGGTCCTTAAAGGTACATATTAATACCTAAAAAGTACAAGTGTGTACCTCATGGTATCTTAAAAGTACAAAAGTAAAGATTAAAGGTACAAAAGTGTACCATAAAGGTACTAATGTCCACCTGTATGGTACAAAACTGTACCTTTTGAAAAGGTATCTCCCCAGTGTTAAATTTTGTACCTTTATTTCTGAAAGTGTACATCAGTAAGGCTGACGGATCATTAAAAGGCGAGAGAAAGGCTTCCTAAAGCAGTCAAGCAGTTGAGAAGTTCCTCAACCAAAAACAAACATGTCCCGGCAGATAAAAGAAGAAACGCTTGGCAATTATAGTAACTGCTCTTCTTGTCAAAAACATTTAAAAGCAGCACCCAGGTCATTCATCTCCTTCCAGTTACTAATTACGGAGATGATAACAGATAATTAATAGAAGCGTGTTCAGCTTCTGCCTAATTAAATACTGATTAGTGTCGATACGGAATATTATATAATCCATCTGGAGTGTAGCACATTCTATGGTTGGTAAAGTGAAGTCTGTAGTGCGAGACTGTAAACTGCGTCTTATCGCTTTCGTAAGTAGGTCAGAGAAACGGGGAGATACTGAGAGACACGATGACCGAGAGAACAGGAGGGAGTTTCTCCCTATTGTGCGCAGGAAGGTCAAAATGTTTAAGCAAGAAAAAAAAAAAAAGATTCAATGCTTTCCTTTTGTTCTTCGATCCAAGCGAGAAACAACCACTTAGTAAGCAAGTGCAGAAATTGGCGGCGAAGCTCGAAAAAAAAAAAAGTACTTTCGTAAAAAAGAAAAAAACTGTAGTGAAGGGCCGTGCCTTGTGCTCTGTCAGTCATATTAATAATTTATCTCTCAAATCCGCATCCGGACTCTGGCCTGTGCCGTACAAGGACACGCAGTCATGTGTAAAGCGCTTCCACGTCCACATCCATCCTCAAGTTCTCATTTAGTGTTCTGTGAAGAAACAAACGTAAGTGACAGAAATGAGCATTAGCGCTATAGGTTACTGTGATAATCTAAATAAAACAACAGAACATGCCGTACCTCGTCTCTTGACGCTGCAGGTGAGGCGTTCGGAGAGGAGCTGCAGAGGGTACAAAACGCCAAGTGGTTATGAATTGAAATCTTTTCAGTGTCTTTGAAAATTTTCTCATTACTTACTCACACTCATGTCGTTCCAAAGCCGTTAGCTGTTTTTATGGAAAACTGACAACAATTTCAATAATTTCCACAAAGGGACAAGGCTGTCAAGCACCGAAAATTGCCCAAAAGAGGCTGCATCAAAGTCTTGCGTAAAACTCTCAATTCACGAGTCAATGGGGTGCAGTTTAATGTTACAAAGTTTTTGTACGGAGACTGAAAAATAGCTGGAAAATTTGTTTTGATTTGAAATTAATTCAAACAAAATTTTAAAGAAAAACTTTGGACGTTATAAATATTGCCTTACCAGCTAAGCCAAATTTAAATAAATAAAAATGTGATCTTAATAAACTAAAACTAAATACAATTGAATGAAATAATACTGACAAAATCACACAAACAAATGACTGAAACATTAAAGAAAGAAATGAATGAAATTGTATAATATAACGACTAAATATAACGTCAGAACAACTTTGGCAAGTACATTCATTCATTTTCCTTCGACTTAGTCTCTTTATTTATTAGGGGTTGCCACAGCGTAATGAACCGCCAACTATTCCAGCATATGTTTTAAACAGCAGATGCCCTTTCATCTGCAACCCAGTACTGGGAAACACTCATACACTCTCACATTCACGCTCAGAAACTACAGCCAATTTAGTTTATTCAATTCACCTCTAGCAGATGTCTTTGGACTTGTGGGGGAAACCGAAGCACCCGGAGGAAACCCATGCAAACACAGGGAGAACATGCAAACTCCACACAGAAACGCCAACTGACCCAGCAAGGGCTCGAACAAGCAACCTTCTTAATGCTAAACAATGAGCCACCATGCTGCCCGGCAAATACATTTTCCTGTATATGAAGTTAAATCATAACTTTAGTCTAGATGATATGACAATATTTTCCTCCTGTAAGACGTTTAAAAACACTTTGACATATTCTTTTACTGATTAATATTAATACAGAAGCTTGACAAGGTTTATCTAGCCAGATGAAATAGTCCTTAAAATTCTCCCTTTGTATTCCAGCGAACATAAGAGCGCACGGGTTTGGAATGACATTAGGCTGAGTAAATGATGACAGAATTTTCATTTTTGGCTGAATTATTCCTCTGATATGTGACTTGCGCTGTCAACGGTACATTAGACTGTATTTGCATGAAATATGGGCACCTGCGTGGCCAGCGCTGTGAAATGAATGGGGTGTGGTGCTTTATTGCAGGAGTTCATTTCTGTTAACTTTGATGTTTTGCATCGGTCAAACCTTTTATCTGCCTCTCCTCTGAGAGTTTCCTGAGGGATCTGTTCTAGCATTGTGAAAGGCCTTGAACTCCAACTACACAAGTGTGTGCGCAGGCTTGGAGAGCAGCCACCGGCACTGAAGAGGATTCTCCGAAACTCCAGCAGCCAGCCAAACAGGCAAAAGTGATCATCGTTTCATACTACTGATTTTAGATTAAACACACACACACACACACACACTGATATCAGAGCAGTAGCTTGCTACCGACAGCAGAACTATTTGAACTTTCCTGTTGTGTCTAGGAAAATCTTCAAGCAGGACATGGTCGCCTTATTTGAACCCTTGTGCTTAAAGGGAAAGTTCACTTCAAAATTCTAATTCTGTCAACATTTGCTCAACTTGCATGACTTTGTTTTCTGTGAAACGCAGGCGGAGAAATGTGAAGAATGTAGCTCTTGTTTGTGCCGTAAAAATGAGTGGAGCACACTTTTCAGCCATCAAAATGTGTCAAAAGCACCATGAAAATGCCATTAAGATGCTCCAATTTATGAGCAGGGCCTATCGAGCTAAAGAAATAAAATAAAAAAGGCCTCTTAAAAATGCTCCATAAGAGCCACCTAACAAATCAATTGTTTGTGTAACGGTACATGTGTTTGTAATATTTTCCCTTCTGCATAAGTGGAACAAACTGAAAGTAATAGTTTTATTCTTCTTCATTTGATTAAATATCATTTATTATATCCTAAATATGATCCTGGAGCAGAAGACTCAGTCATATGTGAAAGCATTGAGCTAAAATGAGTTGATGTCTTGTTAAATATTTTAAACTGAAATGTTTATTTTAGCTAGCTATTTTTAACTTACCAGGAAGAAAAATCTTTTATTAAAAAGACAGGTTTGTACTTAGTTGTGTTGTGGATCAAATATAGGCTCAATTATAATTGTGCTTAACAAAAGGAGCTGACAAACATGTGTTTAGTGTTGCATTTTAAAGCTTTAACGAAAATGGAAACTGGCAGGAGATAATATTAACCAGAATTGAGGAAATCTCCTCTAAAGTAAAACATTAATAATCAAACATTGAGTTTTGACACATTTATGGTAGGAAATTTAAATCTATATGTTCATGGAGCATGATCTTTGCTTATATTTGAGTGTTTTTTTTTTTTTTTTTAAATGAAAAAAAGAATTTTAGCACAAAATGTATTTTGTGGCTATTGCTAAAAATATACTTCTGCAACTTAATACTGCTTTTGTGGTACAGGGTTGCATATTATACAGCACACGTCCTTTCCAATACTCACAAAATGCTTTGTGTTGTGTTACTTTCAGCAAAGAAACGCTTTCATTTTTCTGTCTAACTTTTTCTTTTCAAGTTCTGTCCATTTATCAGGATATTATAGTACAACGATAAATGCTCTCCAATGGCAAGTTATAGAATAAAATAAACCTGAACGAACATTTAGCCTATATAATCATTATTTTTCATTTTACCTGTTGAGGTCAATTATGATGTAAATGATTCTATTATTGAAATGGAGTGTGTGTGTGTGTGTGTGTGCGTGTGTGCGTGCGTGCGTGCGTGTTTGTATATATATATATATATATATACACATACATACATACACATATACATACATACATACATACACATATACATACATACACATATACATACACACGCACCGGCCACTTTATTAGGTACACCTTACTAGTACCGGGTCGGGACCCACTTTTGCCTTCAGAACGACCTTAATACTTCGAGACACAGATTCAACAAATCTGGAACTGGAAATATTCCTCAGAGATTTTGATCCATATTGACATGACAGCATCACACAGTAGCTGCAGATTTGTCAGCTGCACATCCATGATGCAAATCTCCCGTTCTACCACATCTCAAAGGTGCTCTATTGGATTAAGAACTGTTGACTGTGGAGGCCATTTGAGTACAGTGAACTCATTGTCATGTTCAAGAAACCAGATAATTTGCAACTTTATGACATGGTGTCAGAAGATGGGTACACTGTGGTCATAAAGGGATGGACATGGTCAGCAACAATACTCAGGTAGGCTGTGGTGTTGGCACGATGCTCAATTAGTACTAATGGGCCCAAAGTGTGCCAAGAAAATATCCCCCACACTATTAGACCACCAACATCAGCCTGAACCATTGCTAAAAGGCTGGATAGATCTGTGCTTTCATGTTGTTGACGGCAAATTTTGACCCTGCCATTCGAATGACCCAGCAGAAATTAAGACTCATCAGACCAGGCAACATTTCTCCAATCTTCTAGTGTTCAATTTTGGTGAGCCTGAGCAAATTGTAGCCTCAATCTTCTGTTCTTAGCTGACAGGAGTGGCACCCGGTGGGGTCTTCTGCTGCTGTAGCCCAACCGCCTCAAGGCTGGACGTGTTGTGTGGTCAGAGATGCTCTTCAGCATACCTTGGTTGTATCGAGTGGTTATTTGAGTTACTGTTACCTTTCTATCAGCTTGAACCAATCTGGCCATCTCCTATGACCTCAACAAGGCATTTTCTGTTTTGTGGACCATTCTCCGTAAACCCTAAAGATGGTTGTGTGTGGAAATCCTAGTAGATCAACAGTTTCTGAAATACTCAGACCAGGCTGTCTGCTACAACCATGCAACGTTCAAAGTCACTTAAATCCCCTTTCTTCCCCATATTGTTGCTCAGTTTGAACTGCTGCAGATCTTCTTGACCATGTCTACATGCCTAAATGCATTGAGTTGCTACCTAATAAAGTGGCCGGTGAGTGTATATATATTACACACACATACCCAC